GGCTCCAGCTTCTCCATGTCCTGGCTGCTGCCAGCTCCAGCTGTGGGCACGTGGTGGGGCTGACGTTCCATTGCAACGGGATGTGAGATGCAGGATGCAGCAGCTGAGCTCAGGCTCTGCCTGGAGCTGGAATGGAGGTTAATAGGGCCCATCCAAGCATCTGCTCTAGCCAGTGCTGGGAGCTCTTTTCTGACTGATGGCTGAGACACCTGTTGCCCTCTTGGGCTGGGGGCACCCAGTAGGGTTGGTACCCTCAGCTTTGGGCAGCATCTCACTGCGCATCCCCCCTTCTTGTGTCTCCACAGGTGCTGGCGAGTCTGGGAAGAGCACCATCGTCAAACAGATGAAGTGAGTAGTCCTTGCTACAGCAAACACCATGCAGACCCAGCCACAGGCTCCAAAACTGAGGGCGGCTGGGGAAGGCTTCCCATTGGTGTTGCCACGGAGCATGGGGTGGGGGGGGGCAGCATCCCCGGGTGCCCTGCAAAGGGCTGACCTTACCTGTGTCTTTCCCCTGCTCCAGGATCATCCATGAGGATGGCTACTCAGAGGAGGAGTGCCGGCAGTACAAAGCCGTGGTCTACAGCAACACCATCCAGTCCATCATGGCCATCATCAAGGCAATGGGAAACCTGCAGATTGACTTTGGAGACTCCTCCAGAGCGGTGGGTGCCCTCCTGCTCCTTCTGCACCTGACAGGTGGAGGGTTTGTGGGGGTCCTTGGAGAGCAAAAGCAGATGCACATAAAGCTGGACCAGAATTAAGGGTGACCCTGCCCAAGCCCTCTGCTCCCTGACCAGCTGTGACTTCCTGTCCCTGGCACTGAGGATGGGGGGGACCCCAAAGCATAACCCATGGGTGGGCTGTCCCAGCATGGCCCCTGATGTGTGCAGTGGTGGGGTTCCTGCTGCTTCCCTTGGGTCTCATTCCTGCCCAACACCGTAGCTCCTGCCCCGCAGTCTAGGAGGAACACGGTGGGCTCCAGACAGATCCTTTGGGGCAGAGTGAGCCTCAGTGACCCCATGCTGATGCTCGTACCCTGTTCCCCTTAGGATGACGCTCGGCAGCTCTTTGCTCTCTCCTGCACTGCTGAGGAGCAGGGCATCATGCCGGAGGACCTGGCCAATGTCATCCGGAGGCTGTGGGCTGACAACGGGGTGCAGGCCTGTTTCAACCGCTCCCGAGAGTACCAGCTGAACGACTCTGCTGCCTAGTGAGTACCCCTGCTCCTCTTCCCTGGCTCCGTGCTGTGCAGGACACGTTGCTTTTATTGAGCAACAGAAAATCCCCCCCAAGGGCTGCTGTTCCCTGTCCTGCCCGGCGCTGGGGCTGAGCTGGAGTAGAACTGGGAAGGCGGATGTTTCGAAAGCTGTTTCCTCCTCTAGCGGGGTGCTGTGTCCCCTGGGAGGGGGCACCGAGGCGTCCCCCTCCTGCTATCACTCTGCCCACTGCCCTTTCACAGGATGCTCTCCCCTGACCTCTGCATCCTGAGCACAGCCCGTGATCCTGCCCATCCCTGTGCCTGCAGGTGTGGGCCATGAAGACAGGGAAAAGCCCCAGGGAAAGCACCAGGGATCCTTATATATGAGCAGGATGAACAGGCTGCACAAAAGGGTTTCCTTTTTCTTTTTAGCTGAATTTATATGGAAGGCATTATGCTGATGTTTAGGTAGATAAATTGCCTGCATCTGTTTGGGTTTATCCCTGAAGAGATTTAATAAATAAGTTAATCTGCCTAAAGTATGATTGCTGGAGAGGGTGGTGCAGCTCACATGGTGCCCTCCTGCCCTCTCTGGCCAGACCCCTTGTGGCAAAGCAGTGCAGGGGAGAGCTCCTGGTGTGTCAGGAAACCCCCAACGATGCTGGCCCCAGTGGGGATTGAGCACCCTTGGGAGTCACGACCATCCTGGGTGCTGTGTGGTCCTTCCCTGTGCCAGCCCAGCTATCCCCTCCTACTTGGTACCAGTGGGTCCGTCTTCTGCACTGAAGTCGTGGGGGGAAGAGGTTTCAGTAGAGCTCCTTGCAAGCCCCAGCCACAGAGAAGCTCCTGTTGGCATTTTCCTCCAGCGCCTGTGGGTTTCGCTTCCTCCTGCCCGTCCCCCACCCGTCCTCCCCGGTCCCTGTCCTGCTCAGCCCCATTGCTCCCCCCAGCCAGTGCCAGAGTGTCCCTGGCAGTGCCACGCCGTGCCCTGGGTGCTGTTTTGGAGGCACGTGTGCCCTGGCAGCTCGCATGTGCAGTTCCAGTCAATACATCTGCAAAGTGTCTGCAATTCCGGGTCTCACTATAGATGCGTTTATGGAGCATTTGGTATATTGTGGGGGTTGGATAAGCGTTAATTAGGAGCCCCCTTGAACTGTTGCTCCCACCTTTTCCCAGCCTCACGGAGGTGCCTGTGGGATAGCCAATGCCCCAGCCATCCCTGCAGGGATGGTGCTGTGCTCACAGTGCCACTAGCACAGAGTACCCTGGGGATGAGGAGCTCCTTGGGGTGCCGGGGGGTGCTCGCTGGCACCCTGGGGCTGGGCGCGAGGTCCGAGTGCTGCCGGTGCTGCGCATGGCCCTGCCGTGGTGTTTCCTGTTTTTGTGTCAGCCAGAGGCCGCGTGTGTTTCCGGCTGTTTTTGAGCTGCTCCATGGCGGTGCGCCAGCCCCCCCACCCTTGCACCCGTGGCGGGGTCCCAGGGCACCCACAGCTCTGGCTTTCCCAGAGGGTTTCCTGGGAGCTGGTGAGCAGTGGTGCTGCTGTTGGAGCCGGGGATCCTCATGGCCTCATGAGCTGTAATCTGGCTTTCACCAGATTATGGGGCTGCAAATGCTTTAATTAACGCAAGCCTAATTTGCTTAAAGGAGCCCGTTTATAGTAACCTAATTAAAGCAACAGGAGAAATGGAAACCTGCCTTGATCCCCCCGGCACCCCTTAGCCAGTCCTGACGGCTGCTCAGCAGGGGCACCAAGGCACTGCTGCTGCTGGGGTCTGGCAGGGCTGGGGCAGGCAGTGCCGTTCCTGGGGGGCTTGGGGTGGACAGCAGCCCCTGGCTGTGCTGCTCCTCATCCCTTCAGCCTCCCGCTTCCTCCCCGGACGCCGGCCCTTTGTGTTTTTTGACTATAAATGGCACGGCGCCATCGATTGTTTCCGCCGGCGCTGCGGCCGGTTGCCATAGCAGTGAATACTTTCCTCTTGCTGCTTCCCCAGTGTGAACGGCTGGGGGAACAAGGGGGGAGCCCCTCAGCCCAGCCCCTCGAGCCCTCAGTGCCCCATGTCCCGTTGCCGCCCTGGCAGCCAGCTGTCCTGCTCTGTCCGGGCCATGGGGTGATGCTGGGGTGTGGGTGGGGTGCCCTGCACTGTCCAGCTTGGTGCTGCCCCCAGGATGGACCATGTGGGCAGGGCACCCCTAGGGCAGTGTGGGAACGCCCCATGGGATTTGGGTGGGTCATGCCCCGTGATCCAACTTCCACAGCACCTTTCTTCTCCCTCCCCAGCTACCTGAACGACCTGGAGAGGATAGCCCGTGCTGACTACATCCCCACCCAGCAGGACGTGCTGCGCACCAGGGTGAAGACCACGGGTATTGTAGAGACCCACTTCACCTTCAAGGACCTGCACTTCAAGTACGTCCCACCACCCTTTCCCTTTTGCCTTTTCCAAGTCAAAAAAAAACCAACCAACCACCAACTTCCTCCCCGTGCCGGGCTGGATCCTGCCTGCACTGTTCCCAACCCTACGGGTTTGCTCATGGCGGGAACCGCTGCCTCGGAAGGAGCGGAAACCAGCCGAAATAGCTGGAGCAGCCTCAAAAACGCGCAGCAAGGTTCCGCTGCGGGAAGGGTGCTGGGCGGGAGGTGGGGGTCTCGGGGTCGGGCACCACAGCAGCTGGAAGTAGCCAGGGCTTTGGTTTCCCAGGCAAAAAGCTGGCATTGTGCGTGTCCCTGGGGATTTAGTCTGGAGCTGCTGGCGGAAAGGTCTGCTGGAGTTCCCTCCGCCCCCCGAGCGCGGGGGGCCCTGTGCCACCCTGGTGGGATGGAGGTTGTGGCTGCACATCACCAGGGCTGTGCTCCGGGGAGGCAGTGGGGCAGAGGGGAGGGGTGTGGGGGCACAGCAGTGCAGAAGGTTCCCGGCACTGCTGCCAGGCTCTTAACCATGGAGACAGGGCATCCTCTGCTGCCTGTGGATCATCCTGCACTGGGATCATCCCCAGAGCCCTCCTGCTGCCTGTGATTCCCTGACCCCGCAGCAGGATTTCCCCTTGGTCCAAGGCCTCTGCCAAAACCCTGCAGCACTCAGTCCAGAGTGGGTCTCCCAGAGCATCTCCTGGAGCCTTGGTCCAGAAAACATTGCGCTGGTACCCTCTGGGGAAAGCAGCCTGATCCAGCCCAGCTCGTGGCAGGGATTTGATCTAGGTGGGAAATAAGCCCAGATACCACCCTGTCCCTGGGATGGGCAGTGGGTGCTGAAGCAGATCAGTGGTGCTGGCAAAACCCGTGGGGCAGAGACACCGTGTTCTGCCTGCCCTGGTGCCTTTACTTGGCACAGCTCATGCTCTGGGCAGCTGGGGCAACTGAGGCAGGGAGAAGGACAAGAGCAGCAGGGCCAGGGACTGCTGCCCAGCACCATGTCACCTCCCTGCCCAGGATGTTCGATGTGGGCGGCCAGCGCTCGGAGCGGAAGAAGTGGATCCACTGCTTCGAAGGGGTGACAGCCATCATCTTCTGTGTGGCCCTCAGTGCCTATGACCTGGTGCTGGCTGAGGATGAGGAGATGGTGAGTTGGGGGTGGGTATGGAGCTGGCACCATGACCCATCCCCTCCTTGGGGGCCTGAGGGGGCACTCCCTCCTCTGATGGCCACCAGTGCCCTGGCCAGCATGGCCCAAGCAGGGCCCTTGGCATCCCCCACCTGGATGGGATGGGCAGCAGGTTTGGCAACAGTGGGTCAGGCACTGCCTCTGGGGGTCCCTGCCTGGCTCAGGCTGCCATCTTCCCCCCAGAACCGCATGCACGAGAGCATGAAGCTGTTCGACAGCATCTGCAACAACAAGTGGTTCACAGACACGTCCATCATCCTCTTCCTCAACAAGAAGGATCTCTTTGAGGAGAAGATTGTGCACAGCCCCCTGACCATTTGCTTCCCTGAGTACACAGGTACCGTGGGCTCTGTCAGTGCCCCCCCTGGAACCTTGAGCAGTGTAGCAGGAGATGCTAGGGTTGGAGATGGTTGCTTTCCTGTGCCTGGGGAGTGGGACATTGGGACAGCAAGTGGGGTGCTGTGGTATTTGGGGTGCCCCAGGGAATGGGGGAGGATGGGGATGGTTTAGCTGAAGCTCACTGCACTCTGGGGGCATTGATCCAGCATAGGGGTGGTGGCCTGGGGAGCTGAGCCGAAACTCCTTGGGTGATGGGGTGGGGGGTCCCTGGGTGACTGTGGGGCAGCCCAACATCTCCTCCTCCTCAGGGGCCAACAAGTATGATGAGGCAGCCAGCTACATCCAGAGCAAGTTTGAGGACCTGAACAAGCGGAAGGACACCAAGGAGATCTACACCCACTTCACCTGTGCCACCGACACCAAGAACGTGCAGTTTGTCTTCGACGCCGTCACCGACGTCATCATCAAAAACAACCTGAAGGACTGTGGCCTCTTCTGAGGGCCGGCGCTGCCCAGGTGGGTGGTAGTCCTGCTGGTGGCTCCCCCCAGTGGGGTGGTCATGGAGCATCCTCTGGGATCATGACGGGTGCTACCTGCTGTCCCTACTGTGGCACAGGCTGGTGGTGGGTGCCCGTGCCCCCCAGATCCCCCCACTCACCCCCTCTCTCTCCTAGGACCCCTGACCGCGCCAGTGAAGGAAGAACCGTGCTGCCCCCAACTCCTGCTTCTCTTCGGTTTCATCCCTCTGCCCCCACCCCATCAAGAGACTTTTTGGTTGCCAGCACGGGGGCAGGGCCCGTGTCCCCCCCCTCCACTCCCTCCATCCTCCTCCTCCTTGCCAGCGTTACCCCTCCTGAGCAAAAAAGAGGTTTTAATCTTGGTTTTTAACCCCCCAAACCACTCCCTGACCCCCCCCCCCCATCTTCCCCCCAGAACCGCATGCACGAGAGCATGAAGCTGTTCGACAGCATCTGCAACAACAAGTGGTTCACAGACACGTCCATCATCCTCTTCCTCAACAAGAAGGATCTCTTTGAGGAGAAGATTGTGCACAGCCCCCTGACCATTTGCTTCCCTGAGTACACAGGTACCGTGGGCTCTGTCAGTGCCCCCCCTGGAACCTTGAGCAGTGTAGCAGGAGATGCTAGGGTTGGAGATGGTTGCTTTCCTGTGCCTGGGGAGTGGGACATTGGGACAGCAAGTGGGGTGCTGTGGTATTTGGGGTGCCCCAGGGAATGGGGGAGGATGGGGATGGTTTAGCTGAAGCTCACTGCACTCTGGGGGCATTGATCCAGCATAGGGGTGGTGGCCTGGGGAGCTGAGCCGAAACTCCTTGGGTGATGGGGTGGGGGGTCCCTGGGTGACTGTGGGGCAGCCCAACATCTCCTCCTCCTCAGGGGCCAACAAGTATGATGAGGCAGCCAGCTACATCCAGAGCAAGTTTGAGGACCTGAACAAGCGGAAGGACACCAAGGAGATCTACACCCACTTCACCTGTGCCACCGACACCAAGAACGTGCAGTTTGTCTTCGACGCCGTCACCGACGTCATCATCAAAAACAACCTGAAGGACTGTGGCCTCTTCTGAGGGCCGGCGCTGCCCAGGTGGGTGGTAGTCCTGCTGGTGGCTCCCCCCCCCGGGGTGGTCATGGAGCATCCTCTGGGATCATGACGGGTGCTACCTGCTGTCCCTACTGTGGCACAGGCTGGCGGTGGGTGGCCCCCCCCCCCC